ATGCAGAATCTGCGAAAGCTTAATTTCTAGAATCCCGATAAAGTGTGAAAAACCCCAGGTACTGAAGAGTGAGAGGAAATACTGGTTAGCATATACAAAATTTCAGTTATAAGATTAATTGGTCCCAGGTCTGAAAAGATGGCTCAGTTGCTAAAATGTTTACCGAGGAAACCTTAAGACTCGAGTGTGATCTCTAGCACCTAACCTGAGTAGGTAGTGCAGCAAAGCATCATGCCGTTGTAATAACAGTAAAGCATGCCCTTGTAATAACAGCGCAGTAAAGCGACATACACTTGTAGTAACAGTACAGTAAAGTAGTGTGCAGTTGTAATGATATTGCAGCAATGAATGCATCATGTGCTTGTAATAACAGTGAAGCAGAGGTGGAGACAGGAGTGTCTCTGGACCTGGCTGACCAGCCAGTCAAACTGGACTCATGAACTTCAGGTTCTCTGACATAAGCTCTCAAAAAAGGTGAGAAAGTTCTGAGGCCCTAAATTAAACAATAGTGAAACATGTTTCTCCTTCAGTGACTACATGGTGTCTTCTAGACTATGCCTGCTATCTTTCTCTGTGTTCGGATTTCCCTCCTGGCTTTACTCTGCTACGCCATTGGCAGAAACAGCTTTATTTATTAATCAATAAAAGCAACACATATACAGAAGTACATTCTACATAATACCATCCCTCCTCTTGCCCGCTCTTGCCTCCTACCAGCCTGCCACCATCTACTTCTCTCAATGGGTAAGAGCTCCCATGATGGTCCCAAGGGGGAACCGGGAAGCGGCCATCGCATGGGGGACGGGGGCGGGGAGACCACAAGGGGACTTTCTGGGGAGCAGTTTAAATAGACTGGGGGAGTGGTCAAGATTTTGGCTGGCTGTCTTCACCTTCTTCTGGGGAGGGGTCAAGGTTTGGAGGGCTCAGGGATGGGGCCTCCAAAGATGAAGGCCAGTGACAGGGACTTACAGACCCATCATTGGAAACAGCAGGTGTCTCCACGTTCCTGCCCACAGTCGACTGTGAGCCTTCAACCTTGGAAGTTGTGTGGTCTTGCTCACCGGAAAGCTGACCCCCAAGGACACCAGCACAATGGGGGATGCCTGCGCTTTGGATTACAGAGATCTTACTGGTCTTCATCAGATATACGGGTTCAACATGGTGGGGTTCACACTTGGGAAATATCTCAGGCACCCTCTTTCCCTCCGCGCTTAGCTCTGGCCAGCTTCCTTTCCCGGGCGGACAGAGTTATTATTGGCCTCATGCGTCATGTAGTGTACCTTCAGGTTGCCTTTAGTGGTGAAGGCTCTCCCACAGATGCTGCAAAAAAAAAAAAAAAAAAGGCTCTTTGCCTGTGTGCTTCAGCTCATGGATCTGAAGGGTGCTGAAGATGAGGAGTTCTTTCCACAACGTGTACAGCAGTGTTGCTCAGCTTGTAGGCATGACTGTACTGCTAGCAAAGGCGCCACGCCTGAGGACACGCTGGTGGGTCCCACAAAGGTGCCAGGAACTTCAACTTTGACACAGGTGGACTGGGCTTGGATAAATGTTGAGGAGATGCTGGTGCAAAAATTGTGCTTGCCTAGGAAGGCTTCGTCCTTGACCTGTGACATCCAATGCAGATGCAGAGATGTTTGGGGGCTTCACTTTTCCTTTCTTGAATGGGTCGAGTGCCACAGTAGAGAAGGGACTCTGAAGAAGCACAGAGTCCGGGGTCTGAGGTAGCAGGGTGCTTAGGAGGCCAGACAGAAAGTTGGGGAAAATCCAAGTCCCATTAGGCTTCAAGGTGAAGGACGTAAACCCCGAGGACAAGTGCTGGGTGTAGGGGAGACACTGACATGGGTTAGTTTGTTTGGCTTGTTTCAAGAAATTTAGAGACAGAGCCGGGTTTGAGGATTCTAGCTGAGCAGGGCCACAGCAGCGGACACCTGCTGAGGCACATGGTTGCTTAAGACCTTCAGAGTGTCCACACCAGCCCACTCTGATGTGGAGGGCATGTGTAGCCCACAAGTTCACCTGGACTCGGATTTGTTCAGTGAGTTGGATCCGCTGGAGCTGCTGCTGCTGCTGCTGCTGCTGCTGCTGCTGCTGCTGCTGCTGCTGCTGCTGCTGCTGCTGCTGCTGCTGCTGACACAGAATCTGCTCCAGGACCATAGGGTGCTGTGGGAAGCTGGCACGGGTACTGCAGGGGCTTCCACATCCCTCTGATTCACTGCTACCTTGGTACCACAGAGAACCAGCAGAGTCACATTGGTGTTGGCCACTTTGACTTTGAGTAAATAGCTTATGTCCTGGGGTGAAGGTGGCAGGGCAGTCTCTGTCTTTAAGTACAGGATGGAGTTGGTACCCAGCTTTTACTTCGAGATCCCTGAGTTGCCGCTGTTGTCCTGGTGACTGTCCTTATTGCTTGGGCTGTCCAGCTGGTGGCTCAGGACAGCTCTGGGGAAGTCCTCTGAAGACACTGGCCCCTTACTGTCATTCATGATGAGGACAGGAGGATTTTTAGTGCAAGTTTTCTTGTGTTCCATGAGCTCAAAGAAACTGAAGAATTCAACACACTTCTCGCAGACGTGAGTCTCTTCCCACAGGGGGCGCTTCACCAGGGCCCTGTCCTCCATCACTTCATCGCCATTTCCTGGGGAGTTCACTGGAGCACCAGGTGTGTAACCCGATAAGCACATGATCGGTCTCCAGAGGGCGCCAGAGAGCTTAGCGGGGGCTCGGACCACCGGCGAACCGCTTAAAAAGCAGAAAATGCTTCCCAAACCGCAGTGGCAGCACAGGCCCAGCGACCTCAGGGCGCTGCCTGGTTGAGCTCGACACCAGCCAGCGGAGGTTTCAGGAAGCCCTTCTGTAGCAAGCTATACTTCCAGCCCCCCCCCCCCCCAGAAAGCCAACCACCAAAAAAAGAAAAAAGAAAAAAAGAAAATAACTAAGTATGCGTTCACCCCAAATAGAGCTTAGGGACCAGGAGTGAGGAGCCCCTCCTCTCCCGATGGAGCAGGAGGGGTTAGGGTTAACCCTTTGTTCCAGATGGACCAGGCAACTCAGCCTCTCCTCGCCCCCCCCCCCCCACATACTAGCTCTCCTGGCCAAGGCAGAACGAGTCCACCTCAGCTGCAGGGCCCTAAAATATGGGATGCTCCAGCACCCCAAAACTCACATCCTCTGCCTAGACCTTCCATTTGACCTGCAGGGGTAAAAGTAAAACCGTGAGGAGGGTCACCGAACTCTTGATAAACTCGGGAAAGTGCGGGGAAGTAGGACCACACTCCCGGAAAAGTGACGCGTCCAGTTGAGCGCGCAGTCTCCCGCTGCTGTGCACAACCCACCAAGCGCGGAGAGCTGGAATCTGACGAGAGAACCAGGGAGACCCCCCTCCCTCCCCAAGGTTCCCAATTTCTCCAGCGACGGTCCGGCGGGTTGGGGCGAGGGCCTAGTGGAGACGGGCTGGAAAGGGGCTCGCCCGCAGATCACGGCCGTTTGTCCTGAGCTCCCGCGGAGGCCCGGCCTAGTCAACCGCAGTCGGACCTCTGCCCCTTTCACCTCCCGGGCGTGTGCTGAGCAGTGCTACCCAAGGGATCCGTGCAAAAAAATTAATAAACTAAAGAGCGAGGAGGGTGCTTTCCGGCGGGGGTAACCATGCACCCACCACGCGGGTCCTGGCCGGCACCCTCCGGCTGGCCCTGGCCGCAGTGTGAAATCAAAGATGGCTGGAGGTCAGACCCTGAAAGGTTACTGCAGCAGCAGGCCTCGTAATTCCCCGGGGAAAAGCGGAAAGCAGAAAAAAAAAAAAAAAAAAAAGAAACGAAATATCTAAATTAACGAAAAAATAAAATAAAAGCCTCCAAAAGGAACTAAATGGATGGCCTCCCATTCCCTCTGTGCTGTGCAGGTGGAGGGCACCCAGGCCTGCAGTGGGAAGAGGTTGCGGCCTATCCCCCCAACTCTACTGTTTTCTTAAAAAAAAAAAAATCCAAGAAATGGAAACAGCGTAGATGTCCATCAGCTGATCAATGAATAGCTAAAATGTGGCATAGTTACACCATGGATCATTATTCAGATGTTCAGAAAACTAGTTATGAAATTCACTTTGAAATGAGTGTACTTGTTGAGAATGATTCTTAGTGAAGTAATCTAGACTCGGGAACTCAAAAATGTCTTTTTCTTCCATTAGCCAGTGTTACTTTGAGACTTTATTTATTTGTGTTTCATTTGGAATGCCCGTAGAGGTCAAGAAATTAATACATGTCCATTAGGGTGTATTTTAAGGTAGATGAGACAGAATGTTGTGATGCCAAGTTTAAAGGGGGAATAATGGAATTGGAATAGTTAAATGAAGTCGGGAATGGGATAGGAGGTTAGAGGAGGGAAAAAGAAATCTAGAAAAGAGAAATCAACAATAACAGGGAAGTAAATATAACTTCTTTATATTCTTTACAACTATGGTCATTATTTTATTACCATGGATGACTATTCTCTTAAAAGCATTTTTTAATGAATAAAAGAAATAAGTCACTTTAATTATTATTTAATTTCTAAGCACATTTCACTTGTTAACAGAAGGAATCTAACATATTATTTGACCTGGCTTACATTGAATACTTTTCTGAGAGATGATAAATTAAGTAAGTATGACTTTATAATCATATTTAATGTGTTATATACAGGTAATTAAATACATGTCAAGATGAATGCAGAATAAACAGTACACAGAATAGGATATTAACTTTGCTTCATTGAAAGTAGCAAATCCCCAAATAAACAATTTTATTTCAAAGTTCAGTTTTGTTCCTGGAACAACTATAATAACAGAATTGCAACCACACACATCCTAATAGGAAAGCAGAAATAAATATGGATGCAGGTATGTAATCATATAAGTTTGCCATTCATTGTACCCATAGACTATTTATCACTGTACAAAGAGTGAGGGAGGATGACTGAGGACAGTACTGATCTCTGAAAACAAGCAGGCACTGTGTGTGTCCCATAGATGATCATGGGGCTTTTCTGTTCCTGACACAAGTAAAACAAAATGTCTTCACTTGGTAGTTACGGCACAAAAGCAAGAAGGGACTCACAGTTGGGAAACAGCCAGCAATGAAAAGAGACATATTCACCAGGAACCAGGAAGGATTATAAATGATAGCCAAACAGACTTGACAGACGGAGGAAAGCAGATAAAAGCAGATAAAGGTGCTCATCAGCAGAAGGATGGTTTGGGTAGCTCTGGTATGTGGTGAGAATTGAGGAGAGACCTTGCTCCTAAACATGTGCTGCATACTCCGCTTGTGCCTATGCAGGATGAGCACAATGGAGCCACTGGCCCACAGCATTAGCCACATGCATATAACGTCAGGGAATGACAGGTAAACCATATGCAAAACTGCATCCATTTCCCCAATATTAACAGAAGAACAGTACCCAAAGTCTTTTAGCATTGTCATGCTTTTATTGCCCTGTTTTGAACGTATGTTTGTAAGAAAAACAGTATTTATAAAAAGGTTCAGAATCCAACTAAGGTTTACACAGGCAACAACATACTTGGGAGCTTTGCATTTAAGTGGTGCCCACTTTGAGTCATTAGGGCTGATAGTGATGGCTTGGAAGACACTCAGGAAGCTGATACTGCTAAAGGACATAATCCTGCCCACTTTGTGGAGATAGAAAACTCCTTTGCATTCACAATCATTGAGGAAGTCTTTCCAACCAAAACCTGCCATTGTCTGGGGCACTCCTTTACATAGGAGAGTTAAGACATTTGCTGCAATCAAATGCATCAGAACGCAGTCTGTGGGCCTTAAACTGCTTTGGGAAAAGTAAAGAAACAGATAGTAGTAGAGGAGAGACAAATTGCCCAGAACTCCAAGTACAGTCTGTGATAAGAAGATCATTCCCAAGGTCCCATCACTGTCCATCATTTTGTCTGGGTCTGGTGTTTTAGTCTCAGGTTCTTGCATGGAAAATGAGGCATGGTCTGTGTGTGAAATTCAACATCCTCCACTGACCACACTTCTCTCTAGGAATATTTATAAGATGTTTTCCTTAGTCAAAAACTTAAGCTTAAAAAAGGTTAGCAATGTACAAGTCCCTACTGTGAAGACAGAATGAAGAAAAATTTTCCACTCCTCACTGTATATGTAGAGTTCCCTGCTATGAGCTTGATTTTGAAGGACAAGGGAAGCAGAAATATGCAGCAACATTGTGAGCGTTTGTAAGTTTAGTCTTGATTAAGGCTAAGGAGGTTCCTTGAGCCTGACTGCTTCCTAATAGATATAGCACAATGGTTCCAGAGGCATTCCTGAAACTTATCTGTCATAGAACTTCAGATGAACCTGTTGTATGCCATTTTTTGTCCTTAAGCATTCCCTTTTACTTGTAAGTGGTCATATGTATTTCTTTTGCTCTCAGTGCTTTCTAAATCTTTGTGAATACTTACTGTATAGGATGCATCAGTTGTGAGTGCTTTTTAGGTGCATTAACCAAAGATTATTCATGAAAGAAAATGCAAAGCAGTTTTTATGCCAAGTGCATTGGTCTCCACATTATTCTGCTAATAACCCATTTGAATTTGTGTTAGGGAAACAAGTTTAATAAGATCTACAACATGTATCTTTCAATAAACACACCATGAAACAATCCAGAACATTCAAATCAATATGCAATATAAGATTCAAAAGAAATTAGCTTCTGCTGAGTTGAGGTGATTCATTCAAGTGACAAATAATATCAAAGTCAAACTATTATCAATAAATTAATATTGCTGACTGAAAGTAATAAGGATATTCATGTAAACTATCATGGTGTAACATGCTGAACTGTAAATTAAAAAAAACTGAGATACACTTTAAATGGTCATCAGATTATGTATATATTTAATAAACATTATCATTTATTACAATTATATATAATATGCAAAACTGACAAAACACAAACATTTCTCATGTGCCTCAACATTCCCACTGGTTCACACATATCTGGTTCCCACACTACTAATGTGTACTTGTGAGAATGGGGAGACTGATTTAAAGGAGGTAAAAGGAGAAAGGCAATGTTCTTTCAAGAAGTCAGCATAGGAACTCATGGTAAATACATGAATTTTTTTCTTTAAAACTTTGTCTTCAAAGCTTAGGAATAACCCGACCCACTAACCACAGATACCATTATTCTCAGCCTGTATGAATCTTTGTTGTTACTGACTGCCTCTTGTGTCCAGTATCTGAAAGTGACTGGGATTCAAACAGAGTAGAAGCATCTTTCCAGTTCTTCATACTGTTTAAAACAAGTCTGGGGAAACCTAAAACGCAGCCTTACGCCCAGACAAATGAGGTTAGGGGTCTCAGAATGAAAGCTGAGCATCCGACTGAATATAAAACAGCACTGATCACCTTCAAATCGGGTTCAATTATCACTTTTGTTAATCCTCAATGATCACTATCAATGATTCTTTTGAGTTAGGAAAATCAGTTTTACTAAGATTTAGGATCTTGTTTCTCTTTCTATCTAAACTCATGCCTTGGGAGTTTCCTTCCTGTCTGTCTTTGGACATCATTTCCTCTGTCTTGTTATTCATTTTTATTACTCTTAGTTCAATCCTTCAATGCTGATATTCTCACATACATATTCCTATTCAATAATAAAATTTTCTAGCCAATCCCGCACATATACCATATCAACAGCTCTAACCTTCCAACCCATCGACACCTCCCACCCCATTTTACTGCCTTGATCCTCACAACTCGCTCTGAGCATTCAGTCTTCATTTGCTTGTGTCCTGCCTGAGACTAACCTGGGCTGCCTGTGTGACTCTGTATTTGGAGTTCTCTCCTGGAGACCTGGACGTGTTGGAGACCTGGACGTGTCAGCAATGATTTCCTCAGATGCTTCACGTGGTCCTTTCCTTAAGAATCTGCCTCTCAGAAAGGCTGCCGGGGATTCCCCTCACTTTCTCTTTATTGAGATGATGATCTGAGTGCCAGGATCTTTCTGTTCAGAAAGTGTGCTGCACTGAATCTGCTGGAGCCTGGGCTATTTGTCTGTAACTCTGTGATTTCCCCTCCCTTCAGACCTGTAATTACCACCTCACTTATGATTTCAAGGTGTAGTAAGGCTTGGGGAGCCTAGAACTTTGTAGAAAACTATTTTCCCAAGGTGACAATGTTCAAAAACCATTCCCACGTTTCTTTCTAGCCTCCCTTCAGTAAACATGTTAAAGTTTGAAGATGTTCAAATAAGATATCATCCCTTGTGGCAGAAACATTTTCAGTGGAAGTATCTTGAAATTCTGATCTATGCACCTGAAGAACTAGCTGGTGTCTGGGCACCCAAAAATTATTGTTCATCCTAGTATTAAGCTATTCCATATTCCTCATTACTCTGAGTAGCATCATTTTAGTTATTGAAAATATACAATGAAGAGATACACAGAAACATGTTATTTTCTCAATGGTCAGTGTTTGGATCCATATGTCTGCTGTTTATATTTTATTTACAAATTAATGTAGAAAGAAGGTTTTCTTTCTTTTTTCTTTTCCCTTTTATTTGTTATTTTTCTTTTTTTTTGTTTTTTTGTTTTTTGTTTTTCGAGACAGGATTTCTCTGTAGCTTTGGTGCCTGTCCCGGAACTAGCTCTTGTAGACCAGGCTGGTCTTGAACTCACAGAGATCCGCCTGCCTCTGCCTCTGTGCTGGGATTAAAAGCGTGTGCCACCACCGCCCAGCTTATTTGCTATTTTTATTAGTTCACTAAGATTTCATACATTGTAATTTGATCATGCTCATTCCCCTGCCTCACCTCCTCTCATATCCAAGCCCACATACCTACTTTCCCACCATTAATATTTTCTATCTTATTTCACCTATTCAAGTCCATTTTGTGATGTCCAAATACTTTTTCAGTGAGGGTATATTCCTGGACTGTGGTTAATCCACACTGGGTCTCATACTTAGTGCAAACATTCTCTTCTCCTGTCTGTTCTCAATTGCCAGCATCTCCTCAGCTGAGGGTGGCACTTTGTGTCCACTTCGCATCTCCATGCTAGGATCTCCACTTTCAACTTGAAATATAAAATTAGTGCTGTCTTTCTATTGTCCCTGAGAATATACCTTGTTCCATGAAAACCTGGAAATGTATGCCATTATAGATGCAAGTGACTGAAATAAGACTAATGTCAAGTTGAAATGTAAGTGCTAAGGAACAAGAGCAGGTAGTCTTCTGTGGGACGTAGAGAATTTGCCTTTTGTCAAAGAGATGTTGGCAATATAACTTTTGTATGGGAGACATACACTCTTGGTGCTTCTTACTTTAAGGTATTACCATATCCTGTTGAGGTAAAAGATCTGGCCCCACAAGTAGACTTATTACATCATCCCATCCCAATTAATGAAGTACCAGAGATGATAAGAGAGAGAGAATGAGCAAGACACTTGATGGGAAAATCAGAAAAGAGACAGCATGGGGTTAATCTGAGTGAGATAGTGATCTGTGAGATTTAAAAAATCATCAATCACAACATTACTTCAAGGGTATATTGGAACAGAGACTGCTGACTAGCAGGATGGCTCAGTGGCTAAGAATAGCTGTTTCTCTTACAGAATCTTGAATATTATATTAGGGACTTGAAGGGATGACTCGCCTATGAGAAAGTATTCAATGTTAGTATTTCTGCACCTGAGTAATCTTACTTGGAGCAGTTTTATTTCAGGCTAATACAGTTAGGTGATTTTTTTTTCATAATTTCATTTATTTTGACAGCTGAAGCTGATCAGCATTATATCATATACTTGTATCACACTTTCATTATCCATTAAACATTAAAACCCCTTTGCTAGCAGTCATTTAGTACCTACATCCCACCTAACAGGACGGGATCTTGCTACTGGTTTTAACTTCTCACCATATGTAGATGGCAAAGCGCTATTGCTGGACAGATCAAAAGCCTTGGATTCATGATAGAAAACTGTAAGTGTACCAGAGTCCTTTTCACTGTAGGGTACCATTCCTGAACTAAAAGATGTTATACAGGATATTATGAGAGAAAGCATCACTGTTCATAGCTACCTGTGATCTCTACAAACTATGATCCAAAAGGTGAGTTAAGACATGCTCATTTGGGTAATAGTAACAGAATAGTAATGGTGTAACAACCACTTGGAATGGATCTGGAGTTTATTCTACAGGAAGATTGGAAATCATACATTGTAAATCCATTCAGATACCCATGCCTGGATGAGGGACCTAATTTTGTTATTTAGTTATTTTGACAATGTTGAGAAAGTAGAAAGTCACTTTCTAATATTTGTGTTTATACACATAGATAATCAATACTATACTACTATCAGTATAACTGCTATTCCAGAGGACTACACTGAAGACATAACAGACAGGCCGCATAAATGACTGAAAATAAATGAGAATTGAGTGTTCAGACCTAAATAAGGCTTTCGTACATTTCTCTGCAATCCTCAAAGAAAATTACATAAAAAGCAATGGAAAAAATGTTAGATTCAAAAGACAAGAAGAGCAGCAATATGTATCTTCAGGGTAATACCCAGCATTATAATCATGACTCTTAAGACCACACTGGGTCTGCACTAGAAAGGTCAACACCCAGGAAGAAAAGGAAGAGGGCCTGAGAGGGATTATCCCTTACTGATTAAGTATTTTCCACTGAGTAGCTCAAAGAAAGTGTCTTTATTTGTGTGCACACTAGTGACTTTACTAACCTCCAGTAGACACTCCCAATCTAAATGGCACACAGGTGTTCCTAGATAAACTAAATGGGTCACACAATAAAATCAAAAGTCACATATCTGGGAAAAGCAAAAGTAGGGATGATATGTGGTTATAGAGGAGGAAAAGGGGCGAATAACCACAGTGTAACACATACATGGAATTGTAAAATACACAACTTAATAATAAA